AGGAATCCCCTTTTAAGGTTATTCATCAACATCCTCTTAATAGAAAAACTATGAAGAATCCCTGGCCTCTAAATTTTTGATTATGACATTCATGTTAAAAGGTAACATATAGGACCCTGTTTTAAAAAATTATTCATAGGTGGATCTCATCCTAACCAGCTAGGGATGGAGAGAAAAGATAAAAATGAAAATGAAGGAAGTGCTAAATATGCAATGATAGGTGCTCCACTCAAAGTTATGCCCAAAATTTTGATAAGCAAAGTAGGGGAAGAAAAGAGATTGTTAATTGTATATTTTTTGGAATTGTTAGATTTAATCTAGATGTGCAATCCATAGTGACGTATATAATAATCATAAATATTATTAATATTATTCTGATTATTATAATTGTGTTTAAATTAAACAATAAACTTTTGCAAAAAAAGGAGGAAAATTCCTGACAAATCACATCTTGGGTGGCAATATAACTAGAGTGTTTGATGAAGAGTTTTAGGGTAGCAAAAAAAGAGATAAAATCGTTGAAATTTCAAATAAAAGCAAACTTAATCTATGATTAATTTAAGCAAAATTAGGAAGAGATAGTAATTATGAATTTTATCTACTACTGCTAGCATCAAGTTCATATGTATTTGTTTAAGTCCATTGCTCCTGAAATTCAGTGTATTTTTGTAAAAAACAATCTACAAACCTATTCTACCAAAACGTATTCAATGTTAATGCAAAATCTGTCTAAATTATTAATTAATGATCTAATATATAAAAGGCTTATCAATTTTCCTACAAGCCTAAGACTTCTTTTACTTCCTTTACAAATTTCTTAGGACGATTTAACATTTTCAATTATTTTTATTATTTATATAAGTATTACAAAAATCTATATTATTGCCTTATTTAAAAAAATAAAAAGATTTATTATGCAAGAAATAAAGGAATCACTGAATTTAAGTAATCTATTCGATGAATTAACTTAAAGGTTTAGCATAATTAATAATAATAGCTACTTCATTACCCTTACCGAAATCGTTATTTATAATATCTTCATAGATCCAGTTTAAGACCAACTAGGAAACTGAGATATCACACAGAGGAAATTCTGCCAGCTTCATTGAATATTAAATAGGCTAAGAGAATAGATGATGTTACTTGATATAAGAGATTGAGGTAGTGAATAAAGGGAATTTATAATTATGTCATATAAATGAGTAGAAAGAGAATCTGAATTAGAACAATTCTTGCTGTCGTATTATTCCTAAATTAAGAATGTTGAGAAGAATTTTATAGGAGATTTAATATGATTTCATAATAAATTTAACTTTTTTACATAAACTCAAGAATAACATCAGAATTGTTCTAAAAAAAATTTTATTAAATCATAATTTATTATGAGAGTTGTCATCACTTGTGAAC